TATCTCTTATGATATATGGATGTAAAAATTCTCAACAAAATACTAGCAAATTGAATCAGCAACATAAAATTATATACCATGACCAACAGGGATTTATCTCAGGAATTTAACATATGAAAATCAATTAATGTAATTATCATATCAACAGACTAAAAAAAACCTCACATGATCATATCAATTGATACAAAAAAGCATTAAATAAGTCCAATATCCTTTTGTGATAAAAATTCAACAAACTAAGATAGAAAGGAACTTTCTCATCCTGATAAAGTGCATCCACAAAAAATCCAAAGCTAACATCTTCTAATGGTGAAAGACTGTATGTTTTCTCTCTAAGATCAGGAAAAGGATAAGCATGTCATTCTTGGCCCGCATCATTCAACACTGCACTAAGGTCTAGACCAGGGCAATTAGGTGAGAAACAGTATTAAAAACATAAGCTCAGAAGGCAAAGATTAAAACGGTATTGTGCATGATGGACATGATCTTATATTAGAAACCCAAGAGCCTTCTAAAAATGTAATTGGAATATAATAATGATTTAGTGATGTTAGCAGGATTACAAAAATACATCAAAATTCAACTAGCATTTCTACGTTCTTGCAATGAACATTCAAATGAAATAATTAAGCACTATCTCGTATAGCATGAATGTACATCAAAAGCGAGATGTCATGTATATGACAAACATTTTATAATAGCCACTATTCTGATACAGCCTAGAGACCCTTCTACTAAGTGAGAGTATCTCAGAATGGAAACAAGCACCACATGTTCACAGAAAGTGTATTAATGATCAACAACTAAGTGTGACATATAGGAGTAACATTTATCGGGTGTCGGGAGGGTGGGAGTAGGGAGGAGGGTGGTAATATACATACCGAATGAGTAGATGTGAACGTTTGGGGGATGGACACGCCTTGAAGTCTTATCGAGGGGAGTGGGGCAGTGGCAGATATATGAAACTTAACTTATACCCCATAAACGCAAATAAATAAAATAATGTTTACAAGATTAGTAATAAACACGTTAAAAGCACCAGTTTAGAAGGAGACTGGGTTGGAATTAGGCTCTCTCTCAAAAAAGAACATGATCCAAGTATAACTGTTTACAGGAGACACAGTTTACATCAAGCAACAGATTGAAGAGTAAACGAGATGGTAAGATTTATCATGCAAACAGCAACATAGAAGAGCTGGAGTAGCTATATATTAGAACAGTAGGCAAAAAAAGGCTTAAAACAATGACCTATTAATTCTACAATATGAATCAAAATCTTGCTGAAATCCTTCAGTAATAAGTTCTTAAAGAATCCAATTATGTCTGCAATGCAGACAAATTTAAAAGAATGTATAATTTGGAGGTTACATAGGAAATTAAGCCTAGCTATCAAATCATTTAATTCTCCTTTTATTTACACATACTATAAACACAATCCACTTTTTCCTCTTTAATGCAATTATTGAGCTCTCATGAATTATTTTAAAAAAAAATGTTTCACAATCTTGCTGCCAACAATTTAGCTCTTAACTTCTTGATTCATAATGAGGGCAAATTTATATTTAAGTGATTCAGAGATGATGAATTGACGTTGAATCTGATATTATGTACAATGTTGCATAAACAGTAGAAAATTTGTTCAGGATATTAAAAGATCTTTTATTAGTCTTCCTGATTTGCAAGAAACTAGTCAATTCATAGGACTCACTCTCTCAAGGTCTGCTCCCCGGCCTGGTGGTTTCAAAATATCATCTACATTGTTTCGATTCAGGCTTGTTTCTGCACCCGTGGATCTGGAGGGGCGGTGGCTTAGTGAAGGAGCTGGCAGGGCATACGTTCCTCTGGAAGTCTTCGTTCTCCTAGGATCCCAGCAGTTGAAAAATTACTTTTATTACTTTTATTTTGAAAGTTTTATATTTACATACTTACATTTGAAACTTAATTCTCTCACACATCCTAAGGCATATAATTTCAATCAAGTCTAATTTGAGAACCATTCTTAACTTAATTACAGAATGTTTAAATACTATAAATCTATTAAATCAAAAAATGAAAAGATTAAGGGTATGATCAGCAAACAGAATGTTTGTAAAATACTGAATTCACCCTTATTACATTAAATGTAGGAAAGAAGTTACAGGACAGTAGAAAAAAGAAGAATAAATACTTTGTTGATAGTCCCAAGTTCTGTAACTTCTGCTTAAGTTAAAGACGAGGAGTGGAGGGGCGGTATATACATACATAATGAGTGAGATGTGCACCATCTGGGGGGATGGTCATGATGGAACTCAGACTTGTGGGGGGAGGGGGGGAAATGGGCATTTATTGAAACCTTAAAATCTGGTACCCCCATTATGCGAAAAAAAAAAGAAAAAAAAAAACAGGGCTGGGCCAGTGGCTCATGCCTGTTAATCTAGCACTTTGGGAGGCCGAGGGGAGGATCATTGAGGTCAGGAATTTGAGACCAGCTGAGGCAAGAGCAAGATCCTGTCTCTACTTAAAATAAAGAAGAAAGAAAGAAAGAAATTAGTTGGTGACTAACTAAAAATAGAAAAAATTAGCTAGGCATGGTGGTTGCACGCCTGTAGTCCAGCTACTTGGGAGGCTGAGGCAGGAGGATCACTTGAGCCCAGGAGTTGAGGTTGCTGTGAGCTAGGCTGTGCCATGGCACTCCGCCTGGGCAAGAGCAAGACTTTGTCTCAAAAAGAAAAAAAAAAAAAAAGATCTACTTTTTCATAATAAAGATTTTCTTCTACTAAATTATTAATTTAGGTAAGAATTACCAATTAGTGAAAATTTGCTGGGGAACAGGATATTAATTAACAGTTTGAAACTATCTCCCCATAGATCACTTATTTATTACAAAGAGAAAAAAGTAGAAAAATTTGATAGCTACCACCTTGACCAAGTGATCAGTAAATCACCAATAATGAGATAAAGTGACATTAGATGGCTCCTGATGTGATGCAGCACTGAGGATACCATATCATTTACGTAGTATTCTTGCTAATGTTTAACCTAATCCTAACATATGGAAACAAACTGACAAACCCAAACTGAGGGGCATTCTACAAAACAACTGGCCTATACTCTTCAAAAATTCTTTGTCTTTCATGACAATAACAAGGCTGAGAAATTGTTTTTTATTAAAAGACTGGATCCTGGATTTTGAAAAGTTGCTACAAAGCACATTATAAGGCCAACTGGTGAAATCTGAATATAAACTGTATATTATTAAAGAAGTTTAATTCAGGAAATCTATATAACTTAATATAGTATTTTATCAATGTTAAATTTCCTGAATTTAATAATTAACTGGTTTCGTAAGAGAATGTCCTTGTTCTTAGGAGATACCTATTAAAGTATAAGGGTGAAGGGTTATGAAGCCTGCAACTTAACTCTCAAATGGTTACACAATAATAGTGACAATATTAATAATAATAATTATTATTATATATCCATATAGAGAAAAATAGTGAATCTCAATGAAAGGTATACAGGTATTTTTATACCTATTTGTGCAACTTTTCCGTAGGTTTAAAATTTTTCTAAGAAGCTAGGCACTGTAGCCTGTAATCCAAGCACTTTGGAAGGCTAAGGCAGGGGAAGTGCTTAGGGCCAGGAGTTCTAGACCAGCCTGAGCAACCAACCAAGACTCTACCAAAAACACCAAAAAAATTTTCAAAGTAAAAAGGTGAAAAAATGTCACTTTGCACTGCATTCAAAGAAAAGGACACTCACCTCTTCAATAGCAGCATCTTGAAGCAAAGAACGAATGTCTAGGCGCATCATGTGACGTGGTGCAGTTTCCCAGTGATCAGCCATCTATTGAGACATTCAGAAGTCAAGTTATCTCTGGAAACCACTCAAAGACCAAGTAAGCATCCAAGATAAATTTAATTAATACTGTGAAGAATAACAGACCAGTTGCAGGGAGAGCTAGGCCACCCCTTTTACTTCTATACAAAGAAAAATAAATATTTACTAAAGCAGATAAAAAAGATACTATGAAAGAAAATGGGATAAACAAGAGCTTCCAAACAAAAGTGCTGAGACACACAAAATAAGGTTTAGATTACAGTCATGCATCACTTAATAATGGGGATATGTTCTGAGATATGTGTTTTATTATTTTGCCATTGACTGTACTTACACAAATCTAGATAATACAGCCTACTACAAACCCTGCACAGCACGTTACTGTACTGAATACTGTAAGCAATTATAATACAATGGTAAGTATTTGTGTATTTTAAACATCTAAACATAGAAAAGATACAGTAAAAATACAGTATTATAATGTCATGGGATCACCGTCTTATATGTAGTCCCTTGTTGGCTGAAATATCTATTCTATGTTTCTGAAAATCACCTTATTTATTTCTTTAAGCTTTCTTCCATGAATATTTCTCTTGCCACAAGTCTGGTTATCTGCACTCATTTCAGCCAAATATACCTAAGCAAGAATAAATGATGATTAGGCAAAGAAATATAATATTTACATGACAAAACAAAGTACTATGAAGTTCTTTTAAATCTATACCTCAAATCCCTTGGTTTTTGCTGCACTCCAAAACTGGTCAAAATGTCTAACTCTGTCATTGATGGCATCCAGAATGATGAAGGGGAAAAAGCCATCATCCAGAGTCTTTTTGAATGTTTTGAACATGCTGGTGCGGTAAGTCTCCTCCATCTCAGCTTCATATTCATATTCCATTACCTAAGATCGCCCAAAAGAGATCTGTGTCAGCAAAAGCAAAGAATCACCCGAAACCTTTTTTCTGGTTAGCATCTCGATACAGATGAGTTTGTACCCTTTCCTACACATCTGAGTACTGAAGTTTATGTTCAGAAAAGAGAGAAGTCTTTATCTTCAAAAAAGCTGCATCTCTCTCTGAACACGTTTTCCTTTAAATACTATTAATGAATCAGAATATAATCTGAGAAGAATATCATACCTTCTTTTTCACTTTCTTTCCAGAATCTGGATCTTTTTCTTCTTTTTCCACTTCAGTGATGAAGTAATCATCCAGACTTAAAACTCTGGGTGCAGGTCCTCCAAATTCTACCTCTTTATCCTAAGAATCATACAATCAAAAAGGTTAAAAAGAATTTATGGAATAAATTAGTGAATTTTCACAACAAAGTTCCCTCTTAAGGCTAAATAATATGCAATCTTCTGGTGGTTTCAAATCAAGCAGAGGCAAAAATGTTTACCTAAATAGATCAAAAATGTATATGGGACAACATCTACCACATGGGCCAACTATAATGGACTGAATGGAAGATATTAATATTTCTATTGATATCGTGCTGCTTTCTAAGAAGGCAAGTGGCTAACACAAGCAACTGGTCTTTCGGCTTTCCCATACTCACTCGAATAAGTTTTGCAACGTGTGTCTTCCCACTGCCAGGCAATCCTCTCATTATAACAACAATCTGAAACACAGTGGGGAAAAAAAATTACTCGGAGACTTTTTTGCAATGAGATCCTATAATCTGACCATAATGGAATGAAATTAAAATAGTAGGAAAAAATTTGGGAAATTCACAAATATGTGAAAATCAAACAACATACTTCTAAACAATCACTAAATCAAAGAAGAAATCAAGAGAGAAATCAGAAAATACTCTGAGATAAATGAAAATAAATACACACCATACACCAAAGTTTATGGGATGCAGCTAAAGCAGTACTACAAAGGAAACATAACTATAAATGTCGATAGTAGAAAAGAAGAAAGATCTCAAATCAATAACCTAAATTTCTACCTTAAAACAGTGGAAAAGAACAAACTAAAAGAAACAGAAAGAAGGAAACAATAAATATTAGAGCAGAAGTTAAGAAAATAGAGAATAGAAAAAAAAATAAAGAAAAAATAAAACCAAAAGCTAGTTCTTTGAAAAGATCAACAAAATTGACCAAGTTATAGCTAGACTGACTAAGAAGAAAGAGAGAAGATTCAAATGATTAGAATCAGAAATGAAAGCAGGGACATTACTACAACCTTACAGAAATAAGAAGGGATTTTACAGAAATACTATGAACAATTGTATGTCAACTAATTAGATAAAATAGACAACTTCCTAGAAAGACACAGACTACCAAAACTGACTCAAGAAGAAATAGATAATCTGAATAGACCTATGACAAAAATTAGTAATTTTAAAAAACTACCCACAAAGAAGAGTCCAGATCCAGATGGTTTCATCACTGAATGATACCAAACATTTAAAATTAATACCAACTCTTCACAAAATCGTCAAATAAATAGTATAGGAAAGAACAATTCCTAACTTATTTTATGAGGCTAGCAACAAACACCCTGACACTGAAACCAAAGATGACAACACAAGAAAAGTACACTATCTCTTATGAATATGGATGTAAAAATTCTCAACAAAATACTAGCAAATTGAATCTAGCAACATAAAATTATATACCATGACCAACAGGGATTTATCTCAGGAATTTAACATATGAAAATCAATTAATGTAATATATCATATCAACAGACTAAAAAAAACCTCACATGATCATATCAATTGATACAGAAAAAGCATTAAATGAATCCAATATCCTTTTGTGATAAAAACATTCAACAAACTAAGAATAGAAAGGAACTTTCTCATCCTGATAAAGTGCATCCACAAAAAATCCAAAGCTAACATCATTCTAATGGTGAAAGACTGTATGTTTTCTCTCTAAGATCAGGAAAAGGATAAGAATGTCCATTCTTGCCCCATCTATTCAACACTGCACTAGAGGGTCTAGCCAGGGCAATTAGGTGAGAAAAAGTATTAAAAGACATATAGCTTAGAAGGAAAGATGTAAAACTGTATTTGCAGATGACATGATCTTATATGTAGAAAACCCTAAGAGCCTTCTAAAAATGTATTGGAACTAATAAATGAGTTTAGTGATGTTGCAGGATACAAAATAAATACACAAAAATTAATAGCATTTCTACGTTCTTGCAATGAACAATTCAAAAATGAAATAATTAAGCCAACTATATCCATAATAGCATGAAATGTACAATCAAAAGGCAGAGATTGTCAGATTGCATTTATATAGCACCTCTTGTATATTCCTGGATACAGCTAGAACCCATTCTACTAAGTGAAGTATCTCAAGAATGGAAAAACAAGCACCACATGTACTCACCAGCAAATTGGTATTAATGGATCAACACCTAAGTGGACATATAGGAGTAACATTTATCGGGTGTCGGGAGGGTGGGAGTAGGGAGGAGGGGATGGGTATATACAACCGAATGAGTAAGATGTGCAACGTTTGGGGGATGGACACGCTTGAAGCTCTTAGTCGAGGGGAGTGGAGGGCATAGGCAATATATGTAACCTTAACACTTATACCCCCATAATACGCTAAAATAAAATAAAATAATGTTACAAGATTTAAATAACACGTTAAAAGCACCAGTTTTAGAAGGAGACTGGGTTGGAATCTAGGCTCTCTCTCAAAAAAAAAAAAACATGATCCAAGTATAAACTGTTTACAGGAGACACAGTTTACACTCAAAGACAAACAGATTGAAAGTAAAGAGATGGTAAAAGATGTATCATGCAAACAGCAACCATAGGAAAGCTGGAGTAGCTATATATTAACAGTAGGCAAAAAGGCTTTAAAACAATGACCTATTAATTCTACATATATGGAATCAAAATATCTTGCTGAAATCTTCAGTAATAGTTCATTAACAGAATCTAATTATTCTGCAATGCAAGACAAATTTAAAAGAATGTATACATTTGGAGGTAACTAGGAAATTAAGCCTAAGCTAATCAAATCTTCTAATTCTCCTTTTTATTACACATACTATAAAACCAAATCCACTTTTCCTCTTTAAAATGCAATTAATTGAGCTCTCATGAATTATTTTTTAAAGGTTTCAACATCTTTGCTGCCAAGCAATTTAGCTCTAACTTCTTAAGGATTCTATAATGCAGGCAATTTATATTATAAGGTGATTCAGAGATGATAAAATGACTTGAATCTGATATTATTACAATGTTGCATAAAAGTAGAAAAATTCTGTTCAGGATATTAAAAAGATCTTTTAGTATCTTCTGATTTGCAAGAAAACTAGTCAACTTCATAGGACTCACTCTCTCAGGTCTGCTCTCCCGGCCTGGTGGTTTCAAAATATCATCTACATTTTTCGATTCAGGCTTTTTCTCAACCCGTGGAGCTGGAGGGGGCTGGTGGCTTAGTGAAGGAGCTGGCAGGGGCATACGTTCCTCTGGATAAGTTCTTCGTTCTCCTAGGATCCCAGCAGTTGAACAAAATTACTATTTATACATTTTTATTTTGAAAGTTTTATATTTACATACTTTACATTTTGAAACTTAATTCTCTCCACACATCCTAAGGCAATATAATTTCAATCAAGTCTAATTTGAGAACCATTCTTAACCTTAATTACAGAATGTTTAAAGTACTATAAATCTATTAAAATCAAAAAAATGAAAAGATTAAGGTATGATTTCAGGCAAACAGAATGTTCTGTAAAATACTGAATTCACCCTTATTTACATTAAATGTAGGAAAGAAGTTAAACAGGACATAGAAAAAGAAGAATAAATACTTTGTTGGATATCCCAAGTTCTGTAACTTCTGCTTTATAGTTTAAAGAACGGGGATGGAGGGCGGTATATACACTATAATGAGTGAGATGTGCACCATCTGGGGATGTCATGATGGAGACTCAGCTTGTGTGGGGGAGGGGGGGAAATGGGCATTTATTGAACCTTAAAATCTGTACCCCCATAATATGCAAAAAAAAAAAAAAAAAAAAAAAACAGGGCTGGGCCCAGTGGCTCATGCCTGTAATCTAGCACTTTGGGAGGCCGAGGTGGGAGGATCACTTGAGGTCAGGAATTTGAGACCAGCCTGAGCAAGAGCAAGATCCTGTCTCTACTTAAAAAAAAAAAAAAGAAAGAAAGAAAATTAGTTGGGTGACTAACTAAAAATAGAAAAAATTAGCTAGGCATGGTGGTGCACGCCTGTAGTCCCAGCTACTTGGGAGGCTGAGGCAGGAGGATCACTTGAGCCCAGGAGTTTGAGGTTGCTGTGAGCTAGGCTGATGCCATGGCACTCCAGCCTGGGCAACAGAGCAAGACTTTGTCTCAAAAAAGAAAAAAAAAAAAAAAAGGAGCAGAAGTCACCAGCTTCAGAAGTATTTTCCATAATGGGTATGAGTTTCTAATTTAAGTGTAATTCACAGCAGTGAAAACTGAAAGTAACTCAAATATCACAATAAGCATTTTATATTTTATCCACTCAATGGAATGTCACAAAGATTAATAGGTTACACATGGAACAGTGTATGGTGCAATATCAATCAGAATAAGCACAATAAGAAATTGTATTATATTATTACTTGTATTTATACTTTGATTACAACCTCAAAAATATGTATGTGAAAGACAGTGAAAGGAAATATACAAATTATAATAGTTATAGTGGGTGGTGAGATTATAAGTAACCTGTTCTATTTTCCAAAATTTCTTTAATATAAAAATGTTTATTTCATATAATCATATGGTTTTCATAGTAATGTACTATCTCTGAGAAATCTGCAAATACTTTTTACTCTGAAACTTAAATCCTAGCTACAATGGAAAGCATCTCCACAGTTTACATTCTCAACATCTCTATAGTTAATAAAGCATCACTCTACCTCCAAACATGGATGGCCCTTCGTAGGCTGGTCGGTCAGATTTCCGGTCATAAGATGGCCTATCAAACCCCCTCTTCTGGATGAGGATGATCTTTTTTGTCTCTATATGACTGAGCCTAAAGGTGTAACAGGAAGTATTTGGGTAAATAAAAAAATTTTAGAGGTCTTTGCTTTATATTCAACACACTATCTATCTAATTTTCTCTATGGGTAGTTACTGCACAATAGTCAATATTATATTTTGATTTGTATTTTCATTTTTTTTTTTTGAAGACAGAGTTGCTTGTTGCCCAGGATATGTGAGTGGCCGTGGGCATCAGCCTAGCTCACAGCAACCTCAAACTCCTGGGCTCAAGTAATCTTCTGCCTCAGCCTCCGAGTAGCTGGGACTACAGGCATGTGCCACATGCCGGCTAATTATATATATATATATATATTATTATGTAGTGATCATTTCTTCTATTTATAGTAGAGACGTCTCGCTTTTCTCAGGCTGGTTTCGAACTCCTGACCTCGAGCAATCCGCCCGCCTCGGCCTCCCAGAGTGCTAGGATTACAGGCGTGAGCCACCGCGCCCGGCCCCTGTATTTTCATTTTGATACACCTTTATACACACATTTAAAAAGCTAATGAACTGCAAAAATAAATTACTTGCCTACTAACTGAGTAATAACTGCACCTTTATTTACAGTACCATTTCCATTCCTTTCTGGCTACCTCTATTTCTAGCAACCCAAGCACCTACTTTCTTGAAAACTGGTCCAGAATTGCTCTTCCCTCTCCAAATTACGCCACGCAGCATGAGAAGATTGTGTCATTTACTAAATTTCCCTTAGATACACTTTTAATAAACTTAAGTTTATTGGTAATTTGCGTATCTAGCAAAGATATTTTTCATAGCCTACCTATCATCTCGGGGTCGGCGTTCTCTGTCAAATCGATCTCGGTCATAGTCAATAACACCACGATCCCGGTCTCGATCTCTGTGTGTCTCACGATCCCTTTTAAAATCTCGATGATCTGCTATAATATTACTTTGACGATCAAAATAAGGCTCACGGTCTCGGTCTCTATCATAGCGATCGCGTTGGCCTGTATGCTCTACAAAAACAATCAGTATAAAATAAGAACTATATCCCCTTTTCAAAAACAGGAGCATAAAAGTATAAATCTAACTTTAGAACTAGTTTAAATTGCTGCCTTAAATTCAACTGAAGAATCTTTTAGCTGTATTAAAGGGAGGTCCAGATAATCTCACCAAAAGGAAAAATCATGTGATAATTAGGCCCTAAAATGTTTAAAAATACTGATCTCTCTGGGAATCCTACCTGTCTCAAAAGTTGATCTTTCAGGTAGTGGGTCTGGGCGGAGAGTTATTCTTTCTCCATATGGTATCTGTTCAACTTTATTAGTGGCTATATCTGGTAAACAAAACCAGGGATAAAACACTGTAATAGTAAAACTTAAGAAAGCCAAAACTGAAGCTAACAATTCCTGTAGAATCTCAAATACAAGTTCACCACCATTACTCACCTCGGCCATGGCCATAATCAACAGTCTGCTGCACTGGTGGTGGTTTGGACATTGGTGGCATACCCATAGGCAATGGGCCAGGAGGGGGAATAGAAGAGTGAACAGGTGGGGGTGGTAATACTGGAACAGATGGAATTGTTGCAGTTTCTGATTTAAATTCTGAATTCAGTCCTTGTTCATCATTTGTATCCCAGAGACCATAGAAAGAATCTTCATCCCAGCGTTCCTGTTCCACAGCTGAAGTTTGTGGCTTTATCACCGGAGGAGGAGGAGGTGGAGGAGGAGGAGGTGGAGGTGGTGGTATTGGGACAGGTGGCCTGGTCATAGGAACAGATGATCTTGGCAGTGGAGCAGAGGGTCTCATAATTGAACCTGGTGGTTTACCCATAGGAGGGGGTGGTCTATAGGACCCTGGAGGCTAGAGAACAGAATAAATGGCTTAGTGGATGAGCATAACACCATGTTTTCACAGATCAGTGGAAGTTAGAATCTGGTTCATTAAAAAAAATAAATTGGACTCATTCAAAACTCATTCTTTAAAAGATACCATCAGAAAGATGAAGATAAGCCACAGAGAGAAGGAAATATATGCCAATTTCATATCTGATAAAGGACTTGAATTCAGAATATACACAACTCATAACTCAATATTAAGACAAATAATCAAAATATATATGTCAGAAAAAGATCTGAATAGATATTTATCCAAAGACGATATATAAATAGTCAATGAGCACATGAAAAGATGCTCAACATCATTAGTTATTAGGCAAATGAGGTTGCAGTGAGCTATGATGATGCCACTGCACTCTAGCCTAGACAACAAAATGATACCTTGTCTCAAAAAAAAAAAAAAAAAAAGAAAGAAAAACTAAAATGCTGTGTTAAAACTATTAAATATACCAAAAATATTAAGTAGCTAATGCTTGGAAGGCTGTAATATAGATACTATACAACTATTTGAGAAAGTTGTTTGATTATATTACAGGAATCATTTAAAAGTGTTTTTGTTGTTGATTGTTTGTTTGTTTTTGAGACAAGGTCTTGCTCTGTTGCCCAAGCTAGGGTAGAGTGGCATCATCATAGCTCACTGCAATCTCAAACTCCTGTGCTCAAGTGATCCTCCTGCCTCAGCTTTCTCAGTAGCTGGGACTACAAGCATGTGCCACCACACACAGCTAATTTTTTTTTTTTTTTTTATACAGACAGGATCTTGTTATGTTGCCTAGGCTAATCTCGAACTACTGACCTCAAGCAATCCCTCCCGTCTCAGTCTCCCAAAGTGCTGGGATTACAAGCATGAGTCACTGCGCCCAGCCAAAAAATGTCCTTATTCTTGAACTGAAGAATCCCCACCTTGGGAATTTAAAAGTACTCTCAAGAAGTTATCCAAAATAAGAACTTGATACAAAGACATTCATTAAAGTTGTATTAATAGTAACAATTAAACAATAGAAACAGGCTGGATGCCGTGGCTCACGCCTGTAATCCTGGCACTCTGGGAGGCTGAGACGGGCAGATCGCTCAAGGTCACGAGTTCGAAACCAGCCTGAGCAAGAGCGAGACCCCGTCTCTACTAAAGATAGAAAGAAATTAATTGGCCAACTAAACATATATAGAAAAAATTAGCCAGGCATGGGGGCACATGCCTGTAGTCTCAGCTACTTGGGAGGCTGAGGCAGAAGGATGCCTTGAGCCTGGGAATTTGAGGTTGCTATGAGCTAAGCTAATGCCAAGGCACTCTAGCCTGGGCAACAGTGAGACTCTGTCTTAAAAAAAAAAAAAGAAGAAGAAACAAATGTCCAACAAAAATGGAAGAGTTCAATAAAATTACTGTGCATCAAAAATAGCATATAGCAACATGAAAAAATGTTTATGATTTGTTAAGGGAATAGAGCAGAAATGTGGATCTCTAATCTAGAGCAGGTGTCCTCAAACTACAGCCCACGGGTCACATGAGGGTTGCCCAGCACATTTATCCAGCCCTCTGGGTGTTTTTGTCGCCGCTGCCTGTTCTGCTTAGCAGCTGACTTGTCCTGGGCCCACAGTGCGCACTCTCCAACGGTTTGAGGGACAGTGAACTGGCCCTGTTTAAAAACTTTGATGACCCCGACCTAGAGTTTCTACTATTTGCTAAGATCTGCAAAGATAAACGTTTTTATCCTCATGGATTCAGTTTACAAGTAAAGACAGACAAGAAAACAATCAAAATACAATATTATAAAGGCTATGACAGAGACCAGTACAACATGTTACAAGGGTACATAAGAGGGTAACTGCCTTACCCAAAAAAGATAAACAAGAATTAGCCAGTTGGAGGAGGGGATAGGAAGGGAAAGAAAAGAAACTCTACGCTTAAAGAACAATAAGCATCTGCAAAGGAAAGAAGTCATCAAAGAGTCTGGCACATTCACAGAATTATAAATAGCTATAGTTCCATATGGAAGGAAAATGAAGTGTTAAGACAATGGAGTAGCAAGCAATGATCAGCAGAGGTCAGGCCAGCTCAAAAAGGACATAAAAGGCCATGCAAAAGAATCTGGATATTACCCTGAAAGCAATGGGAGGACACTGAAGAGTTCTCAGTATAGCCAGGGAACAAGATGGTGAGATTTACATTTTTTTGTTAGTTTTTAAAATTTTTTCCTGCTGTCCAGTCTTCAAATAAGATTTATGTTTTAAAATGTCTCGTTTGGTTAAAAATCACATCAATGCTGCCTGGGGAGTGTAAGGGTAGTCCCAACTCCAAAAGGGCAGGAGAGAAGCTTTAGGGTGATGGGAAGTTCTTTATCTTTGTATCCATCAAAGATAAAGAACTTTATCTATGCATCCATCAAAACTCAAAATGTAGGCTTAAAATGGGTATATATTAGTGTATGTAAATTATGCCTCCAAATTTGATTCAAAAAATAAAATAATCATTCTGACAGCAAAATGGAGAATGGGTAAGAGGTGAATGAGACGGAGAGAGATAAATTATTTAATAGAATGTGTCTGAAATAATCTAGGCAAAAACTGATGAAGGCCAGAACTGAGATTGTGGGGAAGTGGAGCATAGAATATTTGAACAATATTAGAAAGGTAGTAAAATCAGTCAGCAGAGTGACTGGACATGGAAGGATAGAAGAGGGGCAAGAGGTAAAGCTGACTCTCAAGTTTCATGTTAGGGTGACTAGGTAATGGTGAGGAGAAAGAACAATTTAACGGGGGATGATAATGAGTCCCATTCTGAACATGTTGCATGTGACAGGAGTCACTGCATAGAGAGAAACCTTGTATATTGGGAGTATATGAGGAGCCAACAACATCATAGTGGTCACTATGATGACAACTGTGTGTTAGGCCAATATGGAAGGGAATGCTGAGAAATGAAAAGAGTTAATTTGATGAAATGGTTCAATAGTGCTTTTGTTCTCATTGTGTTGTTATAAAATTATTTGCAGGATAACATTTTTAAAGCCCATCACTCAGTAAAAGGTAAAATAACAAAGAACGAGAAAAAAACAAAAACACCAAAGCAAAACAAAGGGAGAACTTAATTACTCAAGTCTTTAACATGAACACCCCTTGTACTACCGCCTGAATAGTCCTGGAATATGTACTGGGGTATGATGCTTGATCCCTTCCTCAGCTGAAAGACTAGTAGCCTAAAGAGGTAGAGTGCACTGAGGCCCACATCTAGCCATGCCTAGATGGAAAAGAGGACTATTTGAACATAAAAAATTATTAGAAAAAGACTACAATTTTGTGAACATGAAGCATGTAGTTCTGGTGTGCTTGGTGTCTTACCAAAACTTGGGGAAAAGGAGTATCTCTGCCATACTTTGACCATGCTTTTAAAATGGCTGAAGGTCAATTACTATAACCTTTTAATTTTCCAAAATTTATATTTTTATAGAGGAAATTTATACTTATTTAATAACAAAAAAAAATCAAACCATATATAAACATACAAAGTAGAAACCATTTCATTTTCTGAGCACACATTCTCCCATACCGGATACATTCCAGGTCTTGAAGATGTATTCTGCAACCTCGATTCTTGGGGTGGTAGATGGTCAGCCATCTGTGGCTCAGACCCAAAGTCTTTCATCTTTTGGAGTTGTTCTTTCTGTTCCCTGTAAACAAATAATTGACACTGTACATAAGGCATGTTTATTCCATTCCTAAATAACTACAATTATATCAAATTTAAAAAATAGACCTAAACACCTTGTCCTAAAACCATGTGCAGTGCCCATACACCATACCATCTCTGGGGTAACACTCTCTTTGCTTTTATGTAGCTAACTCATCAGTCACTAAGATATATAAATAATTACAAATTATTGAAGATCTTCAAGGACAGATTCAACATCCAGCCTCACTAGTATATTCTAATATCTTATCTACGTATCATGCTTTTCTTTCATCCAACCAAAAGGTCTCTTGCTATCTTCTTCAATACTCTTTAGACCAGAGGTTGCAAAGTGGTGGACCCTGCAAAGTGGTAGACCCATTCTAAATATGGCCTAGAATGGTTTTGCAAATTTTGCTTTCACCACAGATTTTAAAATTTGAATTAGCTGCCATTATTTTTACACAGCAAAACATTTCACATATACATCCAAAGAGATTTGGTAACACTAGGCCTATATTCCCAAACGCCAACAATCACCTGAGTGGAGTAGGGGCTGACCATGTGGGATGAAAGAAACAATTTGCCATAATCCCTACCTCACTCCTGGACCACTTTTACCCATTTTTGTTACCTGATTCTTATGGGCATTTTAGTTTATGCCCCCTGCAACGGATGACAAGAACAGTGGTCTATACCTTTAAAAACAACACTTCATATTTCTAAAGATTAATTACATAACCCTTTGGGTTTTTTCTTTTTCAATCTCTAGTTAAATTCCTTTTATTTTTCCTTACGATACCCACCTTAAACATATGTAACATCCACTACAACCTCTTCAGAGCTTTTACAATTTTCTCCTTATATTTTGTAAAGTGTAGTGACCCAATGAATACAAAGTAAGGTCAAATATAGGAGACAATTTTCTGCCTCCATGTATCTCTTATGATATTCCTTATGACTTTACACAGATACAACATAAACTACTTGTATTCAAGTCTGACCACTATTACTTATCACTCCATATATTTTAATTATGTTTATCTTGCCTAGAAAGAGCTTTAAAAAAAGGATGATGAAGCAGCAGCACCTTTTATCCTGCATTTCCATGCAAAGCAATAATGAACAAAAAGAGAATTTTAGAAAGAAAGGGAAAGAAACCTTAGCAGCTTAGCAACACTAGTCAGCCTGGTATTCTTTATAAACAACACAGATTTTAGAGTCAGACAGATTGAGTTTAAATGCTAGGTTTGCTACGTATTAGTCAAGTGAACTTAACCTCTCTGAGCCTTAAGTGTCATTTGTGAAGGGGGGGATAATACTACTTATCTTTGCAGGCCTTTGAGATTATAAGGATTTGAGATAAGAGGATAGAGATAATATACATACTTCTAAATTATTAGCACAGTGCCCAGTACATAGCAGGTATTAAATCAAAGGTGTCTATAATTTAACAGTGAGTAGTGTAGTATCTAAATGTTCTATGACATGCTTTCCACCTCTTCTTTGTGACTAATCTGGAAAAATAAACCTTTTAGTTATATCTTCTATAGACCACAATAACCTGTTTTTTTTTTTTTTTTTTTCTTTTAAGACAATGTAACAGTGCCTAAAACCTGTTTTCTTGCTTGAGGCATCTGGTCTTTCACCTTTAGCTACAGGTATTTTTCTTCATCATACTTTTCTTTCCTAGTTCTAAAGTTTAAGTTATAATTTGTTGGTATAATATACAAATGTAGACCAGATTTTAAAAATGAAAGAAACACAATACGCTGGATTCTATCAAAATCTGTTAATTTATTTTCTCAAAGAATTACTTAAAAACTTGCAATCTGGAGCCAGGTATGGTGGCTCATGCCTGTAATGCCAGCAACTTAAGTGGCTGAGGTGGGAAGGATCACTTGAGGCCAGGAGTTTGAGACCAGCCTGGGCAACATAGCAAGATCCTGTCTCTAGAAAAAATGAAAAAAAAAAAAATTAGCCAGGTGTATAGTGGTATATGCCTGTAGTCTCAGCTATCAAAGGCTAAAACAAGAGGGGCTTGCTTGAGCCTAGGAGTTCCAGACTGCAGTGAGCTATGGTCATCCCACTGCACTACATCCTGGGCAACACAGCAAGACCCCATTTCTTTAAAAAAAACAAAACCAAAAATCCTTGCAATCTGTCACTGACTCCTAAATTCCTATCCCAGGATAGAGTTGGTTTAAGGATTAAATGAGTTCTTATACATAAAGCACTTAGTACAATTCCTGGCCCAGAGTAAACATGCAATAAATAAATGTCAGCTTTTGTTATTATTGCTGCTACATGGAAACATTATGTAGATACCTACAAATAGTTAATTGTAAGTCCATTTAGAAGAAATCCAAATTCTATTCTCTATCTCACAAAGAAAATATTTGATTATGTAAAACCAAGTAATATCCTCAATTAGAAATATCTGCTTCTAGTTAAAATGAAAGATAAAACATCCCGAAAAGAAAGTATCAACAGTTAGACAAATATGAGGGTACTCCCAGGTAAACCATTCTTAGCTTCTAGAAAGAAAAATACAGCACTTTCCAAAGTTGTATCAAAGATTAGTGAATATGAAGTCTATCAGATCTAATATCAAAGAACAAACTGCCTAATGGGGAAAAAAACAGAGGTTACATATGAGCCCTGTGAAATCCAGAGCACTGAAAAGTTGAAATTTGACACTTGAAACATGCACAGGCATGGCATGCCAGTAACACATCTACACAGGCCAAGAACAGCAATCAATTTTCACATCTCAGGGCGTAAGTTTATAATGAACACAGTTCCTAAATACTCATCCTAACCCCAAAACACGACTGAATGATCAAAAATATAAATTAAAAGTATGTGATAAGAACTTGAGGTAAAATGATTCCATTCCAATATATATCACTTTAAAAAGAGCAATCTGAATGTGGTTTTGACTAAAAGAAATGATCTTAAGGAGTCAACTTACCGAAGCATTTTCAGTTCTTGTGCAGCTTTCAAAATGATTTCGTGCTGCCTCTGACTGAGAACCATTACCCCTCCAAGGCCTTGGTCAGAGTCTAAGTTTGCATCGGACCCCATCATTTCAGAGGAATGATGTGAGGAGGGCATATGTTCCGCCATGGGGGAATGTCTATCCACATCAGATGGGTACCATCTGTCTGACAACCGTTCTCTTTCCCAGTCCATTCTGTCAGGAACATAATCTCGCTTTTCCCGCCACGTATCTCCTCTTTCTGGATACTCTCGAATCCTCAACTCACCCCTATCACGGAAATCTCGATCATACCCATGGTCTCGATTTCTTTCTTCTCTCCATCTATCATCCCGATATCTATCCAGAGGTGGAAGAGGTGGGAGGGGTGGTAAAGGTGGAAGAGATGGAATATCCTGTTCACGAAACTGTGATTCTTGTTCATCCAGTGGTCTCCCATAATCTCTGTCCCACTCATTATCCAAAATTCTATCATACATATCCATGGGTCTTCCAATCCGATCCACATCCCAGTCCAAATCCCTGTCCATTTCCCTATTGTAGTCCTCATCCATATCCTGATCTCTGTCCCAATCATCCCACCAAGGGCCTCGCCTATCTCCATCATGAGACCGTGGTGGTGCTGAGAACCTGTCCTCTCTGTTATATGGATCTAGTGTATCATCTTGATAGTCACGTTCACACTCTCTCCAGTATCTCTCTCTATCCCAATCATCAAGTCTTTCTCGTTCCATTGGAGCACTTCTACCATCTAATGGGAACTCTTCATGCCCTCTCTCTTCTCCATGGTTCCATGGAGTCCTAGGAGGTTCATCTCGGTGATATGGATACATTTTTTCCCCACCATCTCCTGGTTCTGGTCTGAATGGACCTCTATCACGACCAAAATCTGATCTTCCCAGGCCCCTTTCCCGACTGCCAGGCACTCGAGGTGGTCCCCTCTCCCTGCTCCCAGCTCTTCGGGGTGGTACTCGCTCCCTACTCCCTGCCCTTCGAGGGGGTCCTCTCTCCTGACTGCCAGCTCTCCGAGGAGGTCCCCTTTCTCGGCTGCCAGCTCTACCTCTGTCCTGGCTTCCTTGCAGACCACCTGGCACTTTCTCCTGACTGCTTCCAGGCCTCACCAACCCTCTGTCCCGGCTACCTTCTCCTCTGCTCATCTTCTCTCGACTATCTTCTCTTCTACCTATCATCTTATCACGAAAGTCTTCTTGCTTGATCAACCCTGGGCCTCGGCTGATTGCCTGGCCACGACCTCTGTTTACTAGTCCTTTATCCCGTGTGTCTTCCATTCTGCTTTGCCCAGGACCTCTATAAGATGAGCTGCTGCCTCGATTGCCTTCTAATCTATTATCTCTATTATCTGGCCGAGGTAGCCCTTTATCTTGATTGTTTTCTGAATGGGGCAGACCAATACCCATAGGTTTAAAATCATTATCTGCAGTTAATGATGATGATGTGGTTACTGCTGGTCCACCCTCCATCCCCCCTGTTTTTGAAGGAAAAGTAGATTGAGCAGGTACAGGTTTATTTGCAAGGGGTACAGGCTGAGTAACAGCTTGGGCTTTGTCGATTTGAGTCTCCATACTTTGAGAATTCTGGTCCCAATTAGAAGGCTCTATGGGCCCTTCCGAGACTTCGCTTTTAGGTGGCTCTTGTTGAGAGTCGCTTAGATTCTCATTTGATTGAGCCGCCTTGACATCCTTTACATCTGCAGCAATGGAAAATGCAGCTGATTGCATTTTAAAATTCTTCTGCTGGTTACTACTGGTGTCTGCTAACGGTTCTTTGTTTCCTGAAAGAGGTTCTGCTTGTGACTTAGGTTGCTGCTGATGCTGCTGTCCAAAAGTTGGTTTGGGGCCTTTCCACTGTGGTCCACTCTGCCGAGGACTTAGGGATGTATTGGGGGTAATATAAAATTGAGATGCTGGCCCCCGGGGAATCATTCCCCATTTGCTTTTAGTGCCCTCTGCTGGGTGACCTTCATATCTGGGTCTTGGCCCATCGGGGCGATTTCCTTCAAAACGAGGCCCTTTGGGTCTCGGTCCTTCACACCTTGACCCTAAATCCTCAAATCTTCGAGGACCATCAAATCTACAAGTAAAACAAAAGATATTACTCAAGACAGTAAAGCAGAAAAAAATTTTCCATGTATGAGTATTTAAGGCATTCTTGCCTTAGAAACTGTTTATAACAATGACTCTTTCAGTCATTAAACAAATCTTGAGTCACCGATATCTTAGAACCAACGTGTTAAGGTGGCAGTATTCAGGAAGCCTTAGGACAGGCTTTGGAAACCAGGTCAGTATTATCTAATTTGCTTCAACAAGTCACTGCAGCAAGTCACTGATATACTGAACTGTTAAAAAACAATTATAAATATTGTGATTTAGTAGACAGTAATGCCCACTGATTTTAAACAGAAAAAAATTAATAAATTCCAATAACTAACTCTTAGAGTACTTTTGGAATTAAATTATAACTAAAAACGAAGTATGAAACAATTAACGAGAAAATATAGCATGATTATAAATATTGTTGGAGCTAGCACTAACATGTTGATTAATTGACAAAAGTTTAAAAAAACAGCAGTGGTATCTTAAGAACCTGCTTTGACATTTTAAAAAGTCTGAACAGAGGTGTTTTTTTTTTTTTTTTTTTGAGACAGAGTCTCACTTTTGTTGCCCTGGCTAGAGTGAGTGCCATGGCGTCAGCGTAGCTCACAGCAACCTCAAACTCCTGGGCTCAAGCAATCCTGCTGCCTCAGCCTCCCAAGTAGCTGGGACTACAGGCATGCGCCACCATGCCCGGCTAATTTTTTGTATATATATTTTTAGTTGGTCAATTAATTTCTTTCTATTTTTAGTAGAGACGGGGTCTCGCTCAGGATGGTTTCGAACTCCCAACCTCGAGCAATCCGCCCGCCTCGGCCTCCCAGAGTGCTAGGATTACAGGCGTGAGCCACCGCGCCCGGCCTTGAACAGAGGTGTTTTTGCTATGGACCAACTCACTCAATCAGTAAATATTTAGTGCACATTCTCTTTCTGCCAGGCACTACACTACATCAAAGAGATAAACAAATAAATGTCATCTTTATATCCTCAAAGAGTTTACAATCAAGTAGAAAGACAGTCTAAGTGTAAGTAAGTGCCAACAGGTACAATGACTCAAATCTACCTGTATACAATAAGGCAATAGAATATGAAATGTTTAAATTGAGCCTTTTTTTTTTTTTTTTGAGACAGAGTCTCACTCTTTTGCCCAGGCTAGAGTGCCGTGGCATCAGCCTAGCTCACAGCAACCTCAAACTCCTGGGCTCAAGCAATCCTTCTGCCTTAGCCTCCCAAGTAGCTGGGACTACAGGCATGTGTCACCATGCCTGGCTAATTTTTTCTATATATTTTTAGTTGGCCAATTAATTTCTTCCTATTTATAGTAGAGATGGGGTCTTGCTCTTGCTCAGGCTGGTTTCAAACTTCTGACCTTGATCCGCCCACCTCGGCCTCCCAGAGTGCTAGGATTACAGGCGTGAGCCACTGTGCCTGGCCTAAATCGAGTCTTAAAAGACAAATTCTCTGAGCTCAAGCTGAAAGAGGGAGTTGGAGATGAGGGGAGATGGCAAGGGCATCTCAGGCTAAGGAAGCAATATGGAGGAAAGGCAGAGAAACGCGTACCAGTGTAGCATGTTTGGAAGTGCAAATAGTTTAACATGGCTGAAGCAAAGAGGAGACAGAGTCAGCAGAGCTGGCAAACAGGGAGGAGTAGAAAAGCAGCATATTAGGAAATAAGGTAAAGAGGTAAGCAAATATCAGTCTTCAAAAGACTGTGCATGCCTCATGTGGGAGAGATTACTGGTAGTCCTCTAATACCCATTCCCCCCTTTCCTTTCTTTCTTTTTTTTTTTCCCCCAGAGATAGGGTCTTGTTCTGCTGTCCAGACTGGAGTACAGTGGCATGATCATAGCTCACTGCAGCCTGGAACTCCTGGACTCAAGCAATCCTCCTGCTTCAGCCTCCCAAGTGGTTAGGACCACAGGCATGCCACTATTTTCCCCCCCCATAAAGACAGGGTCTTGCTACATTGCCCAGGCTGATCTCAAACTCCTGTTCTCAAGCAATCTTCCCACCTCCTCGGCCTGCCAAAGCGTTGGGATTACAGGCATGAGCCACCATGCCCAGCCAATTCCCCCCTTTTCTATAAAGCTAGAACCTCCCTATTTTTAGCTAGACAAGGCTCCCCAGACTAGAGCCTCTCTTTCCCAACCCCTCTTGCGACTAGAACTTGTAGCCAAGTTCTGGCCAACAGGCTAAGAGTGAAAATGATTTACACATCCTTCCGGGTTGTCTGTCCCCTTAAAGGCAAGGGCATACCCTCTTCTTCACTACTTCCTTTTTCATGCTAGTTCTGACATACCTGGACTAGGTAAATAAGGGATGGCAAAGTAAAAAATCAGAAGGAACTTGGACTCTTGCGACTGTAGAGGCATCATATAAGTCCTGAGAGAGAATATACTTCTAACTTGTTAAAGCCATTTGGCTTTGGAACTCTATTACAACAGATGAATTAAATCAGCTAGTTAAAAAATATAGAATTACCTTATTTATAAGCACTTAAAGCCACTAAATATGATCTGATTTTTAAAAGACTGCTTTAGCAAAAAATTAGTGCATAGAAGGGGAAAGGTTTAAAGATTATTTCTACAATTTGGGTAAGTGAAAGTGATGCCTATTCTAAGTCAGTGACTAACAGGATGTAGAGGAGAAGATAAAGGTGAGAAATATAAAATAAGGTAGAACTGACAGGGTTTTTTAACAAGTGAGAACAACAGGTACAACAGGTGATAGAAGAAAATAAATCAATGCCCTAAAACTTTAAAGAATAATTATATCCAACATCAAATTCTATATCCAAATTATGAATCAAGTGTAAGGTTGGAATAAAGATATTTTCAGAATGTGAGGACTCAGACAATTTACCTTCCAGCCACACTTCTTTAGTAAGTTACTTGAGCATGGACTCCAGGAAAAGGAAGCACTAAACCCTAACAGGAAGCCATGAGATTCAATAAACAGTGAATTCAATCAAGAAGGTTAGTCAAGGAAATGCTATGATAATAGCCATATGGAAGATTTGCAGAACAAAAGAGTAGAATAAGAATTAAACCTTTACTTATCAGAACATGAAGTAAATATACAATATATAAAATGTGTAAGTGTATAAATCATGAAAGGAACGTCACATCATTTGGTGCTATGAAGATAGCTACCAAAAGAAACAACTAAAGAATTAAAAGCTGCAGCGCAGTGGCTCACGCCTGTAATCCTAACTCTCTGGGAGGCCGAGGCGGGCAGATTGCTCAAGGTCAGGAGTTTGAAACCAGCCCAAGCAAGAGCAAGATCCCCGTCTCTACTATAAATAGAAAAAAATTAATTGGCCAACTAATATATTTAGAAAAAATAAGTCAGGCATGGTGGCGCATGCCTGTAGTCCCAGCTACTCGGGAGACTGAGGCAGTAGGAATGCTTGAGCCCAGGAGTTTGAGGTTGCTGTGAGCTAGGCTGACACCACGGCACTCACTCTAGCCTGGGCAACAAAGTGAGACTCTGTCTCAAAAAAAAAAGAATTAAAAGAGGATACCATTGGGAAACATCTAGAGTAGCATAATGTAGTGGATGGCCATTTTGCTCAAATTTTTTAAACCACTTTGATAAAAATGTAAAATGTATCTCTTAAAAGCTCAGAGAGAGGATTAGCCCTCATGAGAAGTCTTCCAAGACTACCGGAAAGATGAACATGATGAGTAAAGATAAAGGATGGAAGTGAGGAGTTTTACTGGGTCTGATAGGTAGCCTTGATTTCCCTTGCGAGGCAGACAGCTAAATTAAAGATAAAAAGCAAATAAAAATGTTTGCTGAGACTAAGAAAGTAGCACTAGGGTAGATGGTCTATGCAAAGTGGAGGAGGTTTCATATTACTATCATGGACAAAGGGGAAAGGAGCTGACTAGGCACTTGTCAAAAGGTACATCACCATGCTAAGGATGGAGATCACACATTGACAGAGATAAAAAGGTACATACTGTTTTAAGGCTTATGATGGTTTGGTTCCTTTTCTTGCAGTTACATTTATTAATCCAAAGAGCCTGGAATAATTATACCTTGGATCATTCAAGTTGAGTAAAATCATTTGCTGTGTACTCAATCAAGCAATTATTAGTTCATATAAGTGATAAGAGAAGACTATCTTCCACAATGTTCAATACTCAGTGAGAAATCGTATCAACATGTTATCTAGCATTATAATCAAATTCCAAAGGTGCCTTCCTAACAAAATTGTGAATGCCTTGAGAATTTTATCCATGATCGACATTTTGGTATAAGCAACATTTATTGAACATCTACTGATTGTCAGGTACTATGCTAGTGCTAGAAATATGAGTCATATCTTAACCTCAAGAATTTCACAGTCCATAGGAAGAGTGAGACAAGAAAATAAACAATTAGAACAGAATTTGATAAATATAGGACATGTTTGGCTGGCTAACCAATGTATTCCAATGTCTGGCTCATTGAAGGATCTCAATATATAATGACTGAAGTGCAACACCAGAGCAGGAAAAATAGGAATAAGTAAAGCAAAAAATGGCAAGAAGGGAATTCTAGATGAAGAAAATAGCATATGTAAAGGCCAGAGGACAGGACAAACGAAGCAGAAGGCATTAAAAAGTCTGCAGATAATAAATGAACATGGCAGAAGAGTTGATAAAAGCAATGAAAGGGTAGGATACTTTGTTTTCAGACCAAATTGCTGACCAATAGCCAAGGACCACAATTTCATTTTCATTTCTGGACCAGAAGATGTTGACAACATTTGAAATATGCTTTGAACACTACATATAAATGGCAAATATTTATCATTACTGCACTTTCAGATTTTCAAAGTTTAAAGATGTTACAAAATGACAGACTATCAAAACCCTTTTCAGTAAAGAGCCTTTCAGTCTTTGGAATAAATATATTGAGATACTCATATTAAAAATTTGTATAAAAATAAGTTACCTTTATAGCCATACAATAAAATACTATGACTTTTTG